TGTGAGTACAGTTGGATTGAGTAAAACCCATACAACAAAGATTAAATGACCATGAAAATGACTGGAAAGGAAGGCTAACAAAATATCTATTGCAGGAAAAATTAAAAACAGCACAATAATTATATGGATGAACAGAGAAGTTGGAAAAATTATAGCATCATGACTGATATAACAGAAGGCATATGGATCTAATGTAGAAATGTAAGGAGACCATTTGGATTTCTGGTTTCCATTTAGTAATCTCTGAAGTTTTCTCTAAGATTCTAAATATTGTTTATTTAATTTTAAATATTGCTTATTTTTATTTTGAATTTTGTATTTTATTTTCAAATGGTTAATTCTAAATATTTTATTTAACACAAGTTATATATTTTCTCTGCAGAATAGTTATTTTCATTTGATTCAGTTTCCACAATAACAGTAAATTCATTAAACAATAAGATCTTTTGTATCACTTATATATCCAAAGATGGGTAATTATCCTGAAAGTATTTAAACACATTTTTTTGTACTGGTATTGGTTTATTAGAGCATTATAGTCTTTGAATTGGTACCATTATTAATGTATGTTCTGTTACTGCTGTTATTGAAGTCAAATCTTGTTAATCTTAATTGGGAATGTTTTTGACTCTCCTTAGGTCAGCTTCAGCCAAAAATGGCTGTGAACTTCTAAAACAGCTTATACAGTATTGAACTTAAAGAGAATGAATATTTGTTCTTTCAAAAGAACAATTTTTTAAATTTAAAAGGTGCATTATTCCATGACAGTGGAAAGGACTGTTGAACTCCAACAGATTAGGATTACTGCTCAGAATCATAGTTTCCCCAAAGGTATAGTAGATAGTATTATCAGTGCTATTTATAATTATAGTAGTTGCCAACCATCAGCATTCTGTATGCTCTGTCAGTGGATAGGCAGCTTTTCCCTTTTGTCAGCATTTTTAAAGAATTTTATATCATCAAATAAACACTTTATTTAATGTCTAATACCAATATATAGAATATGCCAAAGACATTGTATGTATTTTATTATGAATGACTGAAATGAACCAAGATTGATATTTTTATATATGTTGGTATATATATGAGAATTTTAGTTCAAATACGATAATTTTAAATGGCAGATATGGTAAATTCATCTTTAAGTCTGGCAACATTAGTGCCATCATGTCAGTAGTTAAATCAATCATGGCCAACTCATCAGCAAGAGGAAACAAGTTACTTTTACAGTTAGACCAAATTATTGAGCAGTGCTACAATTTCTCTGCCAAAAATGAAGAAACATCTGATTTATCACTTCAAAATATACAGGCAATATGGTATTAACTTTCTCAAGAAAAGAAACCAGATGATTCTTTCAAATTTGTGGAATTTTACAAAGATTTGTAATCTTATAAAATAGTAAGACTGATGATGATTTTGCCACACAGCATTAAAGGGCCTCCCCTGAATTGATGTGCAGCAAAAGGAAAAGATATTCAGTATGATAAGGAAAAGTAAGACAGAGATAGAAAATAAATCACAACCAAAAAAAAATTATTGTCTTTAATAATTGCAGTGAAAGTGAATAAACTGACATAGAAACTAACTGTCATAAGTACACTATAACAAAATAAATTATTAACAAAGCAAAACATTGCACAAAGGCATATAACAAGAGGCACTCACATACAATATCAAGACTCATGACACTTCAAGATGGAATGGAACATGTAATAAATCTGGATGAAGATTTACAATGTGTCCTGTAAAATCCCTTTTTTAAATTGTGATGTTAAAGAGTATAAAGAGATTTTTGTGAATTTATAGCCTGAGAATAAATTAAGAAAATTTAATCTGAAATGCATTGCTTATAAAGGAAAAGAATAAAATAGCTATGTTTTTTAAAAAAGTCTTGGTCTCGATTTAATACAGATATTGGAAAAAAAAAAATGTGAGGTTTCACTAGTCCTATGTTTTATAACTGAATTTTAACTTAAATTTTTATATCCATTCCATTAAAAATCTTTTTTTAAATTGGTTTTATCAATTTTTTGAAAAGACTTTTTAAATAAACAATACCAAAGAGTATAAAACTATTGTCATATTCTTGACAGTGTTTATGGCAATAGCTTTACATAATATCATATGCAAAGATAAAATTAAATTTTGTTTAAAGACATTTAATACAAGCATTGTGCAATATCAATGTTAATAAATTTGCTTTTGTGCTGTCAGCATTTTTATTCAAAAAGCAGTGTTTTTCTACCAACATTCCAGCTATTTCCCGTTCTAAAAGTTGGCAAGTATGTATAATAAGAACAAATAGAAGCTGGAAGTCAATAGGGATAACTACAACATGCTTATGATTACTGACAAGAACATGGCCTCATTAGTAGCACCATATGCTACAAAAGGTAAATTCACTTCAGCAGTTAGAAGATTAGTTGTAGTCATGAACACACTCTGCTCTGATAGAGTCCATGCACTTTCTAAATCTAGAGTTTATGCCCTGAAGTTGAGCAAAAAGGGAGAGAAATTTTACAAGAGGCTCCACAACAAGATCAGTATCTAAAGAATTAGGGAGCATTACTGCTCACACAATACAGTGTTATGAAGGCTCTTCTATTAGGATACTTGAAGATATATATTTATTGCCTTTCCAAATATCTAACAATAATTAAAATTAATAACATCATATTACTCAATGATAATTAGAAACCTGCTCTAGATAGTAAGGACTTTACTCATTTAGTCAATAGGCTATTAGAGTTATATCATCAATAACATTGTTATATCCTTCTTTCACATACTTTTTATTTTTATTTTTATCTTTGCATGTTTTAGCAATAACATTTCCTTTATACGTTTTTATACGTTTTGTATTTCAAAATATGCTTGTGCATTTTAAATTTAAAAAAAACAGTCTTTTCAAAGAAATACTTGTTCTCTTTGAGTTCAATATCAGCTGTTCTGAAAGTTTCAACTGTTATTGCCTGAAGCTAATCTAAAGAGGGTCAAAAACATTCTCAATTAAGATTAATAAGATTTGGTATTTATAACAAACAGTAACAGAAACACAGTTTATTAGAGCTCTTTTGCTTCTCTTAGAATTATATTTGCCATCATTTTTCTATCAATTCTTTAGATTTATTATTCCTAAGAGCTTAGAAAAATTATTAAATTACACTTAAATACTAGTAATAGTTATTAATTTGTGCTTGTTTTCTTAATCCTTTTAGGATATTAAAATGATATTAATGAAAATCTGATTTTGTTTTATTCTTTCAATCAAACTGAATTTTTTCCTGAAAATAATTTAAGATCATATTTTTGATTTTGTGCTCGAAATAAAGTACAGTAATACCCTGTTTAATGTGGTGGATACGTTCTTAGATGACAAAGTGCTAAATGAAACAGCGTTAAATGAGGTCAGTTTAATGCAATAAATAGGAAAAGGGGAACACGCAACCAAAAATAAACAGTTTTTTCTTTATTTTTAAGTTAATTTGCATAATAATATATGTTAAATAACACACAAACATATGAACACAGAAATGTAAAGTTCATTTTTTGTGATGAAGATCCTAGCTCTTCTAAAATTCTTGTTTTTTACAATGAACTCGTCTAGTGATGATCATTTGTTGCTTTCTTTTTCTTTCGTTAAGCAAATGTCAGTAGCAAGAGATTGCATCCAAAATGCCTTGTCTTGCTTTTGCATTCCTTTCAAAAGTTGGATCATTTGCTACAATTTGATCAACGATTTCAGTTATCATTATCAAACTTTTACTAAGGAAATCTGTAGAGAAATTCTTTGGGTTCTTCATTTTCAGAAATGTTGTCCTGTTCTACATAAATTCCTTGTTCTGTCAGTTCTTGAAGGTCATCATTGGTAAGGCTATCACCAGAAACCTGCAGTAATATATTTTTTCCAAAATTATACCAAACAAACATAGATTTAAGAAAAGTACAGCACTACTACCAATTGCCACTTTTTGTTGATTGGCTCATGTTTGGGAATAATTGTATTATATATGAATCAATGAAATGCTGCGATAATTTGAATCAGCATAAATCTTGAGTTTATTTTTAGGTTTTGATCAGACTGTGTTATATTGAATCAGCGTTAATCAATGTCTTACTGTATTTTGTTTCTGATTCTATAATTTTGCTATTTTGACTTATTGAAAAATTTATTATAATTATAAATACTAATTTGCTTTGTAATTTTATTGTTTTTTATATTATTTTTCTGGTGATACAGATAAAGCAATTTGATTTAATGGTTCGGTAATATAATTATTAGTAGTAACTAATAGTGTGAATTTTGAAGACATTTCATTAAATCAGAATAAATCTCGATTTTTGAAATTCTTTTCTCTGTTTAAATAAATTAATCAAATGGACTGCTTTCCTGTAATCAAATTTAAACTGTTTATAAATTATAATGCAACGTCTTCAATAAAAAATTATTTATGCATAATTTTAATAAATTTAAAATTACACAAGAATAATTTTTCGTTTTGAATTTAAAACGACGAAATAATAAAACTAAATACAGTATAATCATTAAAATGTCTATTGATTATTTTTATTATTCTATCAATAGAATTTATAGTCTAATGCAACAAATTTATTATTATTTCTTATTTTTAAAAAATTCCATTATTATTTTATTTAACCACAAAATCAAGAAAGTAAAAATAAAAAAAATTTTAAAACTTATTACGTATAAAATTTTAACTAAATTTATGCACGTGATTTTTCCCGGTAGACTGCTTTTAAATTAAGAGAAGTAATAATTTATATTGTCTTTTTATTATTATAAAATATATATCCAATATGCATAGAATCTATCGATGTAATTCATTTTGATTATTTTTGGATCGATCAGAAGGCAAAAAAAAATTAATACAATAACTCTGCAATAATTATGACGTGCAAATTTATTTATAAGTGGAGAAAAATATAACCGAGGTAAATTACAAACGAATCGTATTTTATTAGCGTAAGAAAATTACCTTAATTAAAAAAAGGCATTTTCTATCCAATATAAACATTCCTCTCATGGCGGCAGCCATTTTGACTGGAGTTCTCGTTCTCATCTCGTGTAGAACTATGAGTCGAGATTATGCGAGATTTAGATTAACTAGCGGAGAAGGAATGTAATGGAGCGGTTGTGTTTGGTTTTAAAACGAAAATCTTATTTAATGTATTATAGCTATTCTAATTAATACTGTTATTGGAATAATCTTTAATAAAGTCTTTAGGTAATGTATTCATTTCGTTATATATATATATATGGAATTTCTCTGTAGAATAAATTACATTACTCTCCAGTATTGAATGATTACTTCTATAGGCCTAAATTATCAATAAGTTTTCTTTCTCATAGCGGAGATTCGAATGATCTGAGTTTTAATGAGGATGATTATTTATGGAATTTGTTTATTATTCGAAATCATTTGTGTTCTGACATAATATTTTCTTATGAGATAAAATGTGACGTATTTATTTATGATGTCATTTGTGTAATTGAAAATGATTCTCAAACAATTGAGCAATCTTTACGATTGCTTTTACTTCATATTTATGTATCGTTATAAAGTAACTTGAACCCGAAGTAAAATATATAATAGACAATAAGACGTTCAAAGCCATTTTGTTACCTGAATACCTAACATCATAAAAATATATTCATCGATTTGGTTAAATACCATAATTTATTTATTGGAAAAAAGAGCAATTAAAAATATGCAAATAGATTTTGTGTGTTTTAAGTCTTTGATTAGCTGCTGTTAGAGGAATATATGACTAATTGTGTAACTAATTAATAGTATTGTTTGGTTAAAATGTAACATATATATATATATACACTGTATTTGTTAAATTAATTAATGTTTATACCGACTTCAGCTGATTATGACAGAAAAGAAGAATGCATTGATAAATAACTAAAATTGATAAAACTGACTTTTAAATTAAAGCAATAATAAATAAATAAATAAATAAATACAATAATTAATTAAACAATAAATTAGTAATTAATAATGCTAAAATTAAGTCAGATAATGATACGATAGAAAACAAAATGTAAAGCCTATATAAGAGCAATTCCAAATAAACAATCTTAATTAATATCAAGTATTTTTATGCATCTAGCAACACTAGCAAAACCCTCTCCTCAGCTTCTTCACTTCACATCCATCTACTTATACCTATTAGTATACTGATGTCACAGTCACTGCTTGCTTCATTTACATGTTTTTATGCTATCTTGTTTGCATGTTTTCATTTCCTCTGCTGGCTCTAGAAGTCAGACTATTTTATTAAATCTATTCAAGACAAGTAATTTCCCTTTTAACTTTATTTTTGCTACTTTCTGGTTTTTTCTGGAAGAGTTTTTGTCACCATATGACCCATGGTGATCTTCATACAGCCAAACTGCAATGGTAAGATGACTTTTTTTTTTCTATTCTAGCAGTGTTTGTTTTATGATTAAAGATGGGAAGTACTGTAAGGTCTCGTTTTATGCGGTGGATACATTCTACAGAAAAGCGCATAAAAAAAATTCGCATAAAAAAAGACTTTACTTGCCTTGAAAAAGTAGGGATACGTTCCGTAATTTTCTAAAATCGCATAAAACCAAAACAACGAATTAAAATTAACTTAAAACCGCATAAAAAAAGTTTGCAGAAATTAAAAGAAATAGGCTGCTTAATAAATTACTTCGAATGTCTGAAAGAAATTCATATAAAAGCTTAAAATAAACTTGTATTCAAACTTAATNTTTTTTTTAAATAAACAAACAAGAAAAAAATTGTCTGACAAGGAAAGAAATAATGAATGACAATTCATTTAATTGCATTTATAATTTTTAGTTTTAATTTATAAATATTATTTATCTATCTTTTCAGTTGAGTAAGTGACAATAATTTGCTGAAATAATAAAAAAATTTTCATAAAATATATTTTTTCATCCAGTTCTTTAGCTGTCATGGAATACTTGTCATTCATGGATGATTAATATGAAATCAAATATATTTCTTAAAAATGAATCAAGATCTTCTAATATAATACTATTTCAAGTGTTAGGCTATATAGTTTACCATCGGAATTTCAAATTTGTTTTAAAGTATTCTTTCAATGTTTTCCAAACTTAAGAAATAAGTGTAATAAATATACCAACCTATGAAAATAAAGGTTGGTGTATTATATTCCTTCTCATGTTATATTCAAAAGAAATGTTAAAATATTAATTTTTTTATTAATGTAGATATATTTTTTTAAAGATTTGTAACTAAGTTTTAAAAAATTACAATGTAATATAAGCATTACTACTATAAGTAGTCTGTTTAATTACATATTAGTGTGTACAGCTGCATAATTTGGATACAGTTTGTATATTGGTGTATAATACAAGAATTCCATAACAATTCTTACTGTTATAATTTATTTCAGAGGATGATTAAACTAATCTTCTATTAAATTAATGATATGGAAAAAATCAATGATTTAATCTACTTATCTATATATTAATTTATCTTTTTTCAAATCTATTCATGTTAGTCCTGTTTATATCTTTGATTGTAACATTATGGAAAATTAATTTTATGCCATACATTTATTTTGTGTATATATAACAAATAAATTTTTTCATGCCAAAATTTNTAAATACAAAATACAATAATAATTAAATAAATATTTATCAATAAAATAAACAATAATAGAAAATTAAGAAAAATATATACAAAAGTTGAATCAATCTAGGTCTAAAGTCTGTGATCAGATGACATAACTGTAAGTTTTACTTTTCTGATACAAGTGTAAGCTTAAATCCAGCTTCATGTTTAATTTTTTTAGAGTAAATTATAATGTTTATCATTGACATTATTATTATTATTATTATAATATTAGGTTTCCTGAATTTAGTTTGGTCTTTAAATTACATTATGGTATCAAGTTTCATACCTTTCCATATATATATATCAGATGGAAATTATGTCAGTTGGATGGTACAACTTCTGATTTTTATGATGCAATACAGATTTACATCTTGACAGATCAGTAGTTTTTTCTTTAGTTCCCATTTCTGTTCAGTTTAGTCCCACTCAGTTTACTTTCAAAGTACCTAAAGATAATCCTTGGGATAAAGATAGCAAGGGAATTAGTGCTACCTTACAATTATTTCTCATGACAATAGGTGGTGAATCAATAGGACTATGCACCATTACCTCTAAACACTAAGCGTGATATAATTGGACAGATTCTTTCACCTTTATAGATCAGATGGTAATAAATTTATTTTAATTATTAAATTCAAGACAAAACTAATCATAAACTATTACAATAATACAAGTTTATAAAAAAAAAAAGGAAATATATTTGCTATTTGTTTGATCTATAATTAACTGATATTCATTATCATATTTATGATAAAACTTATAACTAGAAATTATCAAATATTGATTTATAATTATAATTATCTTTTAGTTATAGTTATTAATTAGAATTAAAATATCATCATAAATTATAATCCATACAAATTTCTATTTTACTTTTGCTTAAAATTAGGAACTTGACATTTTTATTTATTAGCATTGTTGATATATGTGTATACTTGATCATATATAAATAAATTATAAGTTACTTGCAAATGTTCAACTTCAAACATAATTATATTTTGCAGTTTTGGAGAACATAGATTATGATAATCAAGCAATGAAAATATGCCTTTAAAAGAAATTATATTATTTTATAAATTTTTCTTTCCTTTAATTAAAATATTTTCCTTGTCTGTTAGTTTTATGAAACAATTTAAAATTAATAATTGAAAGAATAGTATAAAACTATGTGAATAAAAATGAATATGATAATCTTCTAATAATTTTTTATGTAATGACAAAATGCAATATGTTTAATTATTAAGAATAAAATATTTTTTAAAGAAAGCAAAATATCAATTTTAAAATATATTGATGAGATTGATCAATCATACATATGGATAATTAATTCTGAAATTAATGTTCAGTAATATTTTTTAATTACATAATTTAGAATAATGATCAAAATAATTTAGTAAAAAATTAATCTTTTCACTGTAGTGTTAGGCTAATGCTCAAATTTTTTAAAAGTTTAAAATATTTAAGAAAGGAACAATTTGGGGAGGAATTTTAATATGTATCCTTGTGTATAAGCTATCAATTACAGAATCTAACAATGAATATGATCACTTTTTAGACAATGCTAAGAATAAATTTGAAATTCTTTATATAGAAAAACAAAAATGAAATTTCTCATTTTGTCTTAAGTAGAATATGTCTATCTGAAAATTTTTTGTATTAATCTGAAAACTTTTGATTTTCTGATTATTGCTGAATAAAAATATAAGTTTCACTTACTTATAAAATACAAAACATTTATTTTTATATGAAAAAAAATATTCATTGATTGTAGATGTATCTCTTGCATTTTGCCATCAGTGATTTATTGGGTATAGTGAGTTTGAAAACTACAATTGAAATTCTTTTTTATTTTGTTATTTGTGTTTAATGGGGCATAAACTTTTTCTGCATTTTTTGCATTCAATTTTGCCTTTCTGTGCAGAAAAATTACAATGTTTTTAGTTTGAAAATTGAAACTAAAATTATTTATTTTTATTTATTTAAACCATTATTATAGGTAATGCTTTGTAAGTGCACAATTACTGCCCCTGTTAACAAACTTCTTAAATGTAAAATACAAATATAAATTATAATAAGAAACACAATAAAAATTGTAAAATATTTATTGCATTACAAGCAATAAAAAGAAATAGGATAAATTAAACATAATTTTAGAAATTGATATACAGACATTTTTTATAAAGAAGCTTGTAATTGTAAAATAGAATATAAAGTGTGTCCACAAGTAACTCCATTGAATTAGTAATATAATAAAAATGTTTTACGGGATAAAATGTTACTATTATATTCATTTATTTCTACACTAACTCAACTAACTCATTTTGACTACATAATTTCACTAAATTGCAATATACAATGGCATGTTTAGTAGTATATTAAAGATATAAAACACAATTAACAAATAATCAGATTTTTTTAGTCTTAAGAAAAGACTTATAAAAACTCAATTACAATTTAGGTAGTTGAAAGACATAGCTTGTAATATATTTAAGTTGATATGTGAGAGTTGTGGATTAATATTCTGCTTTAGTCCATTTCTTTTTTAGATTTTTCTGTAATTAAAAGTATCATCATCATTAAAAAATGTCAAATAATTAACTACAGTGCTAAATTGCAATTAAGGTATAATCAAGGTACTAAATACAAGGTCTGTTCAAAAAGTATCGGACCTTTGGTCGGCAAAAATAAATTTATTGACTTTGAGGTACAAAACCCTAATCCCCTTCAAAGTAGTCTCCTTGGTAATGTATATACTTCTCCCAGCGTTCCTGCCACTGCTAGAAACACTGTTGGAACGCATCTTTTGGAATGGCCATCAGCCGGTCCGTCGCATTCCGCACGATGTCTTCTCTCGACTAAATTCGGGTTTCTTTTAGCGGCATTTTCAGTTTGGGAAATAGCCAAAGGTCCCACGGAGCCATGTCGGGAGAGTACGGAGCGTGACGAACCACAGGAGTATTGTGTTTGGCGACGAAAGCCCGAAACAGATGCGCAGAATGGGCGGATGCGTTATCACAATGGATCTCCCAAGTTTTGATCGACTACAGATACGGTCATTTGCGTCGCACTGTATCGGAAAGACGACGAAGGACCTCCTGGTAGTACTCCTTTGCGATGGTTTGGCCTCGTGGTGCGTACTCACGACACACCACCCCACGAAAGTCGAAAAAACTGTCAACATGACCTTTGATATTGCTGCGGACCTGCCGCGCTTTTTTTGGCCTCGAGGATCGTCCCCGAAAGCCTGCTGAATCTTGCGAATGGTTTACACTCGGGTATCGCCATGGTTTTTGGCAAAATTTGATGTAATATCGCTGCTCACGCTGTTCAGTCATTTTCCAACTTAGTGGAATCCGACGAAAGCGCACTACATGACCTCACTCATAGGCCGATTGCCAACGACTGACGCTTCCTGCAGGCGGGAAAAAATTCAGGGCTGTGCATGACTGTCCCCTCCACAACTCCACCGAAGGAGGCCTCTCGTGCATCATTGGTTTACGCGAAAAAAATAAAGGTCCGATACTTTTTGAACAGACCTTGTATAGCATTACCATGTAAAATGATATATTGACAGATTTCCTGATGATTAAAGAATGACTAAGATTTCATATGCTTCTTGATAGATATAAGATTTTATAATAGCAATATGTGTATTGATATAATTTGAACAAGGTTACTGCAGAATTCTACCAGACAAAATCTTACCATTCTAGTTTCCTGTCAAAAGAAAAAAAATGCAATATTTTCAGTTTAACATTTATCCAGGTACAAAAGAGATTTTTCTAGTCTTGCACAAGTAAATCTCACTTTAAATACAGGATGTTGTCAATAATAAAAACACCAAATATGCCTTAATCTAGTAGTGAACAAAAATTTGAATACAACACAAAAATGCAAAGTAATTGGATAGCTACTGTATATGTTAAGAAATGTTACCTGTACAGGTGTTAAAACAAAATTTATATATGAACTGGGTTTGAAGGAAAGATAAATACAAAATACAATAATAATTAAATAAATATTATTAAAATAAACAATAATAGAAAATTAAGAAAAATATATACAAAAGTTGAATCAATCTGTACAAAGTAAACAAATTGTAATTAGTGATTAATACAATCGATGATGATTATCATTTAATGATTTTAAACAAGGTCCTTCATTTTATTGATATTTATTTATTTAATTATCATCATATTTTGTATTTACATTTCCTTCAAATCCAGTTTGTATTTAATAATTTTATATCTTAATGCCTGTGCATGTGACATCTCATTAAGTATATCTAGCCAATTACTTTGAATTTTTGTGTTCTATTTAAATTTGTTTCATTTTTAAAACCTGATGATGGTTTTTGAATAAGTTTGAAAATGTTAGTTTGTCATTAAATTTTTGTTTTCTTGGATTAAGGTGTAGTTTGGTATTTTTATTGCGTAAGTATATGTATAGCCTATAGTGTTAAACATAGTGCTAAACATCTAACCTCACCAGAAAGGAAACATTCCATAGAATCATAAGGAAGATAGGCAGAAGAGACTAAAATCTTTTAACACTGTAAACATCAACCATTATGTATATAACAACTGCGTCTTTTCTCTAGATATCTGAGTTAGGGAATATTTAAATTTGTTTACTAACAAAAATGCAAGTATGCATATACTTGTTGGATGAGTGGTAAATGGTGCCATTTGAGTTAGACAACTTGACTCCTGATTACTCAGGGCTCTCAATACAGGAGCCCTGAGTAATGATGGTGAGCTCAATGATCTCCATCATTATGTGGTGGATCAAATACTGCAGAAGCCATTCTATGGTGTTGGAGATTGATTTGGTAGCACCATGTATTATGGTAAAGCTGTGTGTGCAGCAGTTGGCTTGTTACTAAATCCTAAAGCTGCTAACCTTAAACTAGTAACATGAGGCCTACTACAATGTCCAGAATCAGCCAGCTGCTGGACTGCTGGCTGTTTGTAGTACAGTCGACCCCCCTATAAGATAGAGATACGTTCCATTCTCTAGGAATCCGCTTTCTTACGAATCCTTCCAATCACAACCCGACACGTATCAAGTTTACGGACTACGGCTGTTTGAAAGATTTTCTTCCATAAAATTAATCGATTCTAGACTAATCCGATTCAACATTTCCAAAATACGTATATATTTTTTGGGAATAATCCGTATAAACTACGCTATAAACAAAAAATTGTAGGATTACTTACCGAGTGTCACCATTCGACATTGCCATTGCTCAACATTGTTTTCGTCGCGGAACAGCTCAGCAAAGAGCGGCCGATTTCTAACAACTTATTTTTCTGTGAAAACTTCGTAGAACTTCGGAGACATCATTAATATAAATAATTTTAATCGCCGTTGAATAAGAAATGTTTCTTTCACAAGAAATGTATAAAATTACAGTACTGTATTAGACTTACGGTACCTAATTTACATACTGACAGACGATAGTTAGCGTAAAAATCTCCGTAGCGTGGCGCCACGCTAGACGGCGGAAATTATATATTTAATTATAACAAAGTTACAATAAGTTAATATATAATTATATATACAGTACCTAATTTATATATAATTAATATATAATTATATGTACAGTACCTAATTTATATATAATTTATATAATACTGTCCAGACGATAGAAATCTCTCCGTAGCGTGGCGCTACGGACGGCGGGAAAGTAGTTCGGCTTCCCGATGACGTTTGAGGTGTTTATAGGGAACTTTTACTATTTTTTACGGATACCGGTAGCAATTTTTTCGTAGTTTTATAGGAATCGTAACTATAGGGACCGTAATTATAGGGGGGGTCGACTGTACTGAGTATTTGTAACTGTAAAGCTTCACCTAATCATCATGGGCAAGTATATGAAGCACCACTTTTTTTTAATGCAGTTTTTATTGCAAAAAGTTTCACTTAATTGCCCATGGGTAATTAAGTGAGCAATCACATGAAAGTTTCATCTGTTTCAATTGTGTTCATTACAGAACAGTGAAATGGATACTTGATCACACTATGTTTTCTGCTGTGAGTATTCTGTTCAATAACAGACAAGATTAGAATTACCAACAATAGCTAATTTTTCCAAAATTTTTGTTCATATATTATTTTTTAATTTCATTGTGGTATTCTCTCCAAGATTAATCTTATAAAAACTTTTTTCTACCAGCTCAAAGTTTTTGTTGCAAGCTGCTGTAATTTTTGAATAGAAAATGTTTCCCATTGGCCATTAGTCAATGATGTATATGTGTAAGCATTCATATCTGTCAAAGTAGGAATGAGGTCTACTTACTTTGTTCTGTGATTTCACCATCAGTAAATTGGTTGTTGCTAGGCAATCTATATAGATATTCTTTGCTGGATGAAATCTTATAGTAGAAACTAGCTTTTACAGTACTAAGGCACTAAAAGAAAAATGTTTCATTTAATTGTCCATGGGCATTTAAACAAGTAATGGGTGATAAACTGAGAATGTTTGCATGGGCAATGTTAGGATTTGTTTGATGGTAATAAAGATTATATTAATTGACTAGCAGTGTGTGGTTTTTAGCAATGAATCCCAATTCTATTTGGGAATGGATGTCACTGTGTTAGAGCATGGAAGAGTACTTGTAAAGTTTTTTTTTTTCTGTGAAGACCTGAATCCAAACCTTACCACGGGAACTGACATCTTGGTGCAAATGACCAAAAATAATTATATGAGGATAATAAGTAAAACTGTTAATTCAACAGTCTATTTAAAAGTTTATAACAATGGTGTGTTATGTTAGCAGTAAATAAATAAATAAATAAATACAATAATTAATTAAACAATAAATTAGTAATTAATAATGCTAAAATTAAGTCAAATAATGATACGATAGAAAACAAAATGTAAAGCCTATATAAGAGCAATTCCAAATAAACAATCTTAATTAATATCAAGTATTTTTATGCATCTAGCAACACTAGCAAAACCCTCTCCTCAGCTTCTTCACTTCACATCCATCTACTTATACCTATTAGTATACTGATGTCACAGTCACTGCTTGCTTCATTTACATGTTTTTATGCTATCTTGTTTGCATGTTTTCATTTCCTCTGCTGGCTCTAGAAGTCAGACTATTTTATTAAATCTATTCAAGACAAGTAATTTCCCTTTTAACTTTATTTTTGCTACTTTCTGGTTTTTTCTGGAAGAGTTTTTGTCACCATATGACCCATGGTGATCTTCATACAGCCAAACTGCAATGGTAAGATGACTTTTTTTTTTCTATTCTAGCAGTGTTTGTTTTATGATTAAAGATGGGAAGTACTGTAAGGTCTCGTTTTATGCGGTGGATACATTCTACAGAAAAGCGCATAAAAAAAATTCGCATAAAAAAAGACTTTACTTGCCTTGAAAAAGTAGGGATACGTTCCGTAATTTTCTAAAATCGCATAAAACCAAAACAATGAATTAAAATTAACTTAAAACCGCATAAAAAAAGTTTGCAGAAATTAAAAGAAATAGGCTGCTTAATAAATTACTTCGAATGTCTGAAAGAAATTCATATAAAAGCTTAAAATAAACTTGTATTCAAACTTAATTCAGTTTATTTTATTGAAAAGTAATACAAGGGGAATCCCCGAATTGCAAAAGCTCACTCTAAAAACAAATCACTGACATCTGGATGTGAAGAGTTAATTAAAACTTAACCCTTTAGTTCCTCTCCCGAGTTAACTCGGGCAGGTTACATAGCGTTACATAAAACACGGTCCTTAAGATTTAATTTTTTTTTTGAATTTTTGGAATGTTTTTTAAGTCTCCAAATTTTTTAAAAATATTTAAAAATATACGGCCAGCTAGTGTTCACCCTACTTTAAACCCTTGTCCTCCCGCGACGTCTATGAGAATGCCCCGGGAAATCCAACTCCAGCTGTGTTCAAGGTCATCCAGATGTGTAAACAATGACTCATCGGTGTTAAATTTCACAGAAGGGCGAGACAAAGGAAGTTAAACTTTGAAGCTTTTTCTTCAAAATTAACGCATTTCTTTCGTTTTTTTTCAGTTTTAAGTATTTTTTATGTTTAATTACATTTATATCAAAAATTGCTAGGAACTAAAGCGATTAAGGTAGATCTAGCTGTCCTTTACATCCATAAACGTTATATGTCAGTGGAACAAATGGAGTGAGCTTTGAGCGTTCCACGATTTTTGGAGACTGTCTATACGCGGGCTTCCTAAACAAGCCTATATGTATGTTTGTCCAAAAAAAATTTGGATGAAATACAAACCGCACAACTTCAAAATCGCATAAAAAAAATCCGCATAAAACGAGACCTTACAGTAGTTGGCCAAAACAAAACAAATTTCAAACTAAATGTAATGAACAAAATAAACAATTAGTAATGTACAAAGTTTAGTTTCTTCTTAAACCCTAGCAAGTACTTCAGTCTATGCCTTTGCTGTTGAGCAGCACATTTCCCCCACTGTTAGTGTGACAATCTGAGAAGCCATCTTATATGACAATTGGTGATATGAAGAACATTGACAGCACAACAGTACTTGTGTTCCCTTTTATGTAGGATTGCAAACAACCAGGATTTTCCAGGAGTGTCTTAGTTACATTGCAACCCTTTCTTGATCTGCCCAATCTCCAAATTTATTGGTTATCACTCATTTGTGATACCAGAGGAACACAGGCTTTGGCCATCTATAAGTGTGAGGGATCTGGCATAGCATGAAGTATCTGTAATCTTTCATGCCTGTCCATATTGCTGTATGTATCCAGACAAGAAGAGGTCTTACAATGTACTAAAGGTTCATTTAAATTGTATTGTTATTTGACAGGAAACTTTTCCTTTATTATGATATTATAATCACTTATTACCACTGTCATTATGTTTGCACTAACAAAGTTTCATTTGATTCCAATCCTGACAAAAACATGCACATGCATACTAATATGTCTCATATATAATTATAAACGTTTCTGATATCTTTTAAGATAATTTTTGCTTTCTGCTTAGGTTATAAAAGTATCAAGCAGTTATACTATCCACAAAAAATTTTTTTTATTCAGCAGATAATTTTTAATGGAATGAATGTTTTCAGTTGCTATTTTAATTTATTTGTACATGTGTTATTAACTCCTTAAGGACATTGACATTTTTTATATAGATTTCAATTAAACGTAAAAAATACTTAAAACAGAAAAAAAACGAAAGAAATGCGTTTATTTTGAAGAAAAAGCTTTAAATTTTATTTTCCTTTGTTTCGCCTGTCTGTGAAATGTAACACCGATGAGTCATTGTTTACACAGCTGGGTGACCTTGAACACAGCTGGAGTCGGATTTCCCGGGACATTCTCATAGACGTCTCGGGAGGACAAGGGTTTAAAGTAGGGTGACTATAAGCGACACAGAAATTTTTAAATATTTTTAAAAAATTCAATATTTTATTGCGATTTCCGACCCCCCTAATTAATTAATTATATATTTATAAAAATATATTAATTAAAAAAATTAAAAAACCATCGGAGGTCGTTTTTGACATCAGAAACTAACTTTAAATAACTTTACTGAATGAAAATCCGTGCGCTACAACTTAAAAACCATGAAATAATTTTGATAAAAAACTCCCATTAAAAAACAATTAAGCCTTAATCGAGCCTTCACATAGGCTCATTAAAATCGCGATAAAATTTTTTTGCGCGGGAAAAAAATTTTGAAAAAATTTCGGGACCTAAAAAACATTCCAAAAATTCAAAAAAAAAAAATTTTT